GCTGAACAGGGTAAGTCATCATATTGTCCCCAGAAAATGACCTTGGTTTTAGACACAGCTTCACATGATCAAGGGAATGTCTCATACTGACCTCCAGCAGCAGCCAGCACCATTCTGGGTCCTTTATAATGTGTTGTTATATACTCCACCAAGTCATTGCGGTTTATGGATCTGAAAACAGTGCAGAAAAGCAAACAGACAACAAAAAACATCACTACAGTATGAGTAGAATTTATTACAGGAAGAAGAAATGCATGCACAGAGCAAGTAATGCTAGAATAACTTTAAATTCAGCCAATGCACAGGGTGTGCAGAGAAACAGGCAGCTCCAACAAGGGCCAGTTCTAAGCAGCAAACAGGAACTCGACCTTCCAAAGCTCTGCTCACTTCCCCCAAAGGAGCATGAATTATAACAGTGCTCCCCGTTGAGCTCACTCAGGGGAGACAGTCCAACTGCTGCTCTCATGCCAGCTTTAAGAACACATTTCACAGCCTCCTGGCATAAACACTGCTGGATGAGCAGTGTACACAGCTGTATTTATGGTACTGCCTGATACCTGCCTGATGGAGGGGAAAAAAAATGTTTCTAATTTCATGGCAGATGTATTTTTAAGTTCTTCTTATAGTTATATCCAATGTAACTTTGCCTGCTTTCCAGAATGGAAACAAAAACTGAAGTTGTTCCCTACATTTTCAGAGGAGTACATGAAATATGGAAATAAGTTACAAGGTAACTAAACTATGCACATTTGGACATACTTGATGTTCTCAGTGGGTCCTAGAATGGTTCGTCCCAGGGCCGTGTTCTGGTAGGCCGTAGCATGCAGGTAATCGAAAACCACTTCTTGCAAATTGGTTTCCACCTCCTGCATCTCTCTCAGTATGACTCCTCGCTCACGCTCAATCTCTGCTTCTCCCAGGGTGCTGTTCTGAATTATATCAGCAAGAATTTCCACAGCTAATTGAAAACAGACAGAAATGCCAAGTGTACTTTCAGAGTACTAGAAAAAAAATAATTACAAAAGTAAAATCCACTCCTGAAGCCAAGTGGCCCAAGACTAGCTAGTTAAGTTCATTTGGGAGGCTTTTGTTTGTTTGTTTCTTTATCTTTAACAGGATGCTAAAAATGATGAAGATTTCCTTCAGAAGGGACAAGAGGATGTTCTGCAGGAAAGGAGAAGTCCAAAAGGGATTTTCCTTTCAGCATTTAGTAAAGATGTTTCATCTTCATGTTCCTTCCCAAACTTGCATTCTGACATTTCCGGTGACATTCAAGAAGAATGTGGGGTGTTTTTTGTTGTTGTTGTTTGTTTGTTTAATCTTTTTTTTTTTTTTCTCTCCTTTAAGGAAGGGACTTTTACACTGAAAAAGCATCTTTCTCCTCACCAGGAAACAGGTAAGTATTTCATTCTTTGCTGCTTTTCTGATGAATAAGAACAGTTACCTCTTGGTAAGTCTTTGGAAAAAGCCTTTGCATAATACACTGTTTGTTCCCGGGATGTATAGGCATTCAGGTGAGCTCCCATGTTCTCAATCTCTAGTTCAAGGTCTAACTGAGACCTCTTTTTTGTCCCCTGAAATAAAAAATATAATAAACCTTGAAACCCCTTTCATTATTTCTACTTGTCTATATAAACTAAGGCCATAAATAAATAAATAAATAAATAAACAAACCCACCACCAAAAAAAAAAACCACTGGCACATTAATCTCTCCAAATGGGAAAGTCAGTATAAAACTTACTACATTTCCAAATGAAAACAAAAAGTTAATAGGAGAGGTAGAAGAGTAGAAGAGAGTGTCCGCTAAGAATATTAAAACAAGTCAAAGTGCCTTAAAATTAGTCCCATGCTACTAATACATAGCTCTGTACCAGGAAGACTTCTTTGAAGCCAAAATGTAAGCTACTTCCTTTTTTCTTGATTTGAAAAAATTCTTTAAAGGATTTGATAAAATTCTTATTGATTTTTAAAAAAAACAACTACTTAGAAATTCATTTTAAATTTGCAAAAATCACTATTCAAACTTGCCTTGAAAGCCATATGCTCCAGGAAGTGAGCAGTTCCATTGTTCTTCTCATTTTCATACCTGCTTCCAGCATCAATCCAAAGTCCAACCTCATTGGAGAAAGAAAGAAGAAAGAAAAAAAAAAAAAGGAAAATCTTACCATCTCACAACATAGTTTTGCTCCTTTTTCTGTGTGACCTACACTTATTTTTCAAGAGCTACTTTGTAATGGCTTTTCCCTTACAGAAACCAGATTTTCAGGAAAATAAATCCAATCCTAACAAAAATGTAATCACAAGTCCTTTACAAAAGTCTCAAGACTCTCACTTCCCATCTTAATTTTTAAGAGCAACTGTTATCAAAAAATGGAAAGCATTCAGCTTAACTCCACAAGAAAATCAAAATACAAGAATACGGTTATGAAAAACAGCCTCATCACAAGTCAAACCTACTGTGCATGTCGAGAGCCCGGAATCTTCTGAAGCTACTTGCAAGCCATTTTCCAGAGGAGACACCTTAGTCTCAGGAACATTTAAGACCACTTTTGTTGCTGCCTTGGTAGCTCTGAACTTGCCTGTTCCAATATGTAGATGCTGTAAGTAAAAAGCATCTGTTATGCTCAGATCATACATTATAAATTAGAAAAAGCCTTCTGAAAAATGCATTCCTGAACTTAACCACGCATCTAAGAAAAAAAAAAACTCAAAATAAGAAAAAAATAAAGTTAGCACTGATTTATTCACCAGGGCTTAACCTCACAGTGAGGGCTTCACTACTGCCAGCAACAGTCTGTGGGGCCTCAGCCATGTCCCTCAGTCTCCTTTGGGGTGGCTGGTATCTTGAGCACAGTTGCAGGTGGCAGCTGCAAACTGCAGTCACCCTCTCCTCCAAGCAGGGCCAGAACTGAAACTGCCACCTCTTACACAGCCCCCTGGCAGCTACAGCACATTAATCCTGAAGCAGGTAGAGAGAAGGGGAGAGCTGTGGGTTGGTTGGCTTGGTTTTGTTTGTTTTGCTTAAGAGAAAGCTTCTTGATGTAGTAAGTGAGCATGATGGAGGAATGTACCCTGAATGAGTACTTTCAATAGCAATAAGCTATTTGAAATAAATAACTAACTATATGAAATAAGGGCTCCTCTCGCTTTGTGACTGTGCTAACACTGGAAGCAGCCAGGCCATCTCGGTGGCAGGAGAGGGCAGCTGAATCCCACCAAGCCGGCATGGCTGAATCCCAGTTACCCGGGTGTTCCCAGGCACAGAGCGGCCTCTCCGGATCGCAGGACAGCGCCGGTGGGAAGGGGTCCGGGGGTCCCTAGCCCGACCCGCTGCTGCCAGCTACAGGGCCAGCTGGGCCGGGGGTCC